GGATGGTCTTCTCTCAAAGGAAACAGTGCAGGTGGTGAGATCTACAGAAGCTATTTCTGATCTCTCAGGTTTTATCATTTTTTAGAGAGTTTATACTCAACTAGGCCAGTGGTGGGTTGCTCCCAGTTCGCACCAGTTCTATAGAACCGGTAGTAAAACCGTCGGGAGGCTCCACCCACTGACCCTGATGTCCTCAGAACGCTTCTGCGCATGCACAGAAGAGCGCATGCATGCGGCTCCGTTGCGAACCGGTAGTAAAGGTAAGTAGAACCCACCCTGAACTGGGCCCAAACTTGGAAACAAGGAGGGAATAGAAATATATTCCCTATGTTTTACCTTTCTGCTGATAGGCAAACTTTAAAAAAAAAAATCAGACATGACACCTGTAAGAGCCAATTGATTTTTCTCTACTTAAAAAAAAAAACTATATTTTAATTTTGATCCGGCTCAGATAACATAATTTCCCTTTTTTCTTTTGTACTGTTAACTATGTGGTTTATCTTTTTCCCTCCGAAAAGCAGCATAAAAATTATGGCTGATTTTCTTGTGCTGCCTCGGCCGTTAAGTATTGACCAGGAAACAGTGACATCTTGTGGTTGTCAAGAATCATGAGCATCTATTAACTAAACATCTGTATGCTCTCTCAGATACAAGCAAGCATGCTAATGACTGCATTATCATTTAAACAAAATACAAAACAATCTGGGCAATGTTAGATGCAATTATTTCCCATAATTAGATCTGGTGCTGTTTCAGATGAGACAAGTTGAAGCATAATTGGAATGATTCAAATACAGCTATCAGGAATGCTGTCCTATCGTTAACTAGTTTTTCGGAGGGGAGGGGACAAGGTTTGGAGAATCGTTTGGAAAACAGCAGTTTCAGTGCAAAAAAAAGAGAGCATAAAATGTGATGTTAGAGTGGAAAAATAGAAAGAGGAATAAGGAACGCTTCTGCTTAATGTACTTCCAGAGTCCCAAAGATGCTTTTTTTCGAGAGGCAACAGACTTTCTGGTCCAGAAAGTCCAGTTGCCTCTTGAGAAAAGCATCTTTGGGACAACCATGACCTGGATGACTGAGAATCTCCATAGGTACTTCCAGAGCAGTGGTGGGTTGTTCCCGGTTTGGTCCGGTTCTATAGAACTGGTAGTAAAACCGGCGGGAGACCCCAGCTACCCGCCACAATGTCATCATGGGTGATCTGCGCCTGCGCGGTCCCATTGACAACCGGTAGTAAAGGTAAGTGGAACCCACCCCTGTTCCAGAGCATTAAAAAATTCAACAGGTGGAGTTTGGTGTCTCACAGCTTTGTAGAGCAAAGTTTTTCAACCTCAGCAACTTTAAGATGGTGGACTTCAAATCCCAGAATTCCTCAGCTAGCAAGCTACCAGTCTTCTATGGATCCTGTTAAAAAAGCAACAAAGAAAATGATTGGATGTGGGCCCCAGCATTCACAAGAAACATAGTCCCACTCCCCGATGGATTGATTCCTGTGTAAAGAAGAGGAACACAATCCAGTACATGCTGCCAATGTACTCAACCTAGAATAATCTAGAGACCAGCAAGATTTAGCTACGTCTTGGTTAATTGGGTTAGGTTTCATATAGGAATCCAACCTGGAATTCTTCTAGGGCATTCAAAAAGCAACCCAGAAGATAGCAAAGGTTTTCTTTCTATAATAAATGAAAACTCCACCTGTCCCAGAACTGATAGTTCAAGGGAGATTTTACATCTATCTGTCTGTCCAATTTATTGCCTGCCTTTGTTTACACAACTCAACATGGCACACAATGCATCATGTGCCCTCCCTCTGTTTTCCCCACAGTAACAAATACAAATGCAGCAGGAACCTTGATCACTGCACTATTTCCAGGAAAGAGGTAGCTGATGTCTTCAGATGTCACATACAATATGTCCAGTAGTTCTGTGGGGACGGCCCACATCTATGCAGCATAGACCCTCTAAATTGCTCCACGATAGAGCTAATTTATTGCACTGAAGATTCTACTTTTGGTAGCAGGTCTATTGTAAATGGCAGATGTACTAAGGAAATGGAACAGGAAGGCACTTGCCAGTTGCTGAATGTCAAGCATTAAATAGTGTTGGGAACTTGCAAAATATAATCGGGGCAAGGAGTTGAGAAACTCATCAGAAACCAGGGTAGAAATCTTCAGTCTAATCTCAGGGCATCCCTCATCTCACTGCAACCCCTTAGAAACTGACATGATCATTTGATATTTTTCTGTTCATTTCAGTGGCCTTAATAAGGCCAAGATGCAAAACAATTACTTAAAGATGGAAAGCAAAGACTGAGTTCAGGGGAAGATACGTGCAGATGATCGCTGTAAAAACACTAAAGAGAACAATAGAAATTTGGACTACAATTAGTATATCTTTGCTATTTAAACGGCCAAACAGTAAAATGTGCCAAATCTTGACAGTTTGACAAAGATATATGAAGTCTTGCCAAGGCGATGCAGGCAAATGTCACTTACATAGTTATTAAAAATTGCCCTTAGGCTAACATCGTATGTCTTTTTGACAAGATGAATAGTTCCTTTTTGACAATGAATAATTTTCATTTAAAGATTTTTTTTTTAAAGAAAAGACATCTTCAATTAAAGAATACATGCATAAATGAGACTCAATACTATTAATTGTGCAAGTTATTCACACATTCAGGCACCTGAGTTATCTTTTCACAGCCTTCCCAAGGATCATTTTCATAGCAGCTACTTCTGCTGTATTTTATTGCATTTATTGAATAATGTCTTGTGCTCCTAAACATTGTGATTAATATTGTCATGATAAATCCCCTCTTTTGTATTTTAATTGATGCCTCTCAAAAACTCTTGTTACTCTTCATTGTTGCTCATACTTGTATCTTGGTCCTTCTTTTAAGATCAGGCTGGCATCCATAAGACCATGTTAACCTCATTAACGTTTTCTTTAGTGGCTTCAGCACATCAACCAATTAATTCACTGTTGACCTAGAACTGCCGAAGGATTTCTATCTGTGAAATCAGCTAAAGTTGATTTTAATTCCAAAAATTAAACCCCTACCCCTCTAGATAAACTCTACCACCTAGTTGGCATTGCCCCACCTGCTGTTCGCAGAGAAGCAGCATAGAGGGATTTAAATCATTTATATCTTGATAGCACTCTCTCTATGGCCTACAACCAACTCCTCAGAGATTAAAATCCAGAAAAATCTCCCTTAGCTCAACAGAAGACTTGGAAAGCTACAAAGAACCAACACTGGATGGAACCAATGGAGGAATTGACACCTGGGTCTGGTGAAAACTGAGAAAATTATTGAATAGATGAATAGGCGCACGTATACAAGATCCAGAGACATGCTGAACAAATGGAGCTATCCAGTGGCCTCTTCTCATTACGATTGCGATGACACACAGACAACAACATATATGTATCCCGGTACTTTGTGTCCTGGTCAATGTACACTTGAGGACCTCATGGCAACACGACAGAATGCAATTAATGTTGCTAGTTTCTGGGCAAGATCTGTTTAACTTGTACATGTTTTAATCTTGTATTTTATATTTTAAATTTTATGCTGTATAGTGTACCTTATTTTAATTGTGATGCTTCTGAGATGAATAAACAAACATTCCAAAAGCTTTGTGATTGACAAAAGATTTCAATTAAATCCAGCCTTATTTTATGTCAACAGTGGTTCTGAATCCCATTGTCGTCAGATGCTCCATTATAATCTCAAGCAATGAAAGTCTAAGTGGACAGATAGTAGGAGCCACATTGATACTTCACACTTCATGATATTGTTATGCAAATGACTTGGATTATGAAGCATGCATCTGTTGCATCATATCACTTGTCTTCCTGTGTGTCAAGTCCCATGTAACTGGAAAACCCCAGAAGAACCCTACATACAGAGAAAGGCATCTTTAATGCTACGCAAGAGTAAAAACATCATCTCAAAAATGATAAGGCTTATAGCAAGTCAGTTATGGCTCCCACATTTGGGCTGTGTTGGCTCTTCTTATATGAATGAGTCACTTCCTCCATTGCATTTTCCCACAGTCACTTCTCACAATTGATCAGAATATAGAATAGTAAGATACAGTATGTAGTGTTTGTATCCTTCTCTTTATAGGTTTTTGTCATTAAGCACTCACATAGCTTTCAACACAAGATGGAAAGCCAGTTTTGTACCATGTCACAAACTCTGCAATTTGCAGTGTTGTAGTATTCACAATGATAAATATTCTGTATTTAGCACAATTAATCCCTGCAGGATGTGCTGATATCCAGTGTCTTAGCTTACAAATTAATGGAGATGTGGCTATGTTGGTCAACCAACACCAGTGAAACTTTGTGGCATCGGATTTTGGTTTTAAAAATAGGTTTGTCTAATTGGACTCCCGGTTGCTCCAGCACAGCTATTCTTATTCAATTATTATCAATTTAAATGGGCAATATCACCACCAAAGCAACCAGAGTGCTCAAGATTAACTGTGGTGATAGGGACATAAAAGGAAATATTACAGAATTCAGGAACTGGTTCACAGAATAATAAAACATTTAGTAATTTGACCATGTAGACCATCCTTGTGTCAAAAGAATATTGCTGTACATGGATGGACAGAAAAGCACCATAAAATAAAGTTATTTTCTTTGGAATCTTACTGATGTTGCAAATATCTGGGTAAAAGATAAATAAATAACAGAAGAAAAGGAAACTGATTCTGTTTATCTAAAACAATATTTACTCTTCTGTCCCAAATGACGAAGGGAATCCAACCTTATAGTCAAGGAGAAAGACTATGAAGTTAAAGGTGATTACTTTAGTTCAGTTTTGATGGAAAAGACACAACCTCAAATTTAAAATATCTCAGCTTTACAATGCAAAATACACTCTTAGAAATGTGTAGGAAACTGTTAGAAAGGACAACTAATCTTTAAAAAAAAAAAAGAAAAGAGAAAGAAATCTTTACAAATTACCTGTCTTACACTGTGAGTCATTAAACAAGTAATTAACCAGTTTATTAATATATTCACATATTTACATAACATTACAAATTAAAGTACTGCCCCAGCTCACTGCATGAGAGCAAGGTCTGACACAGGGAAAATAAATAGGCATTGCAGGGAAATAAAGAGGCAGCAAGGCTCCAGCCTACTAAATCTTTGGTATTTGAAATATAGCAATGATGCAGCATTTCACTTACTCAACACAGGGCATTTAATGAAGACAAGAAAGAGCAGAGTCCTGACCTAAAACTTTGCGCACTTATGGAGGAACTCCTCAATGACTGAATTCTCCAGTCCCTTCCTGAAAATGAGAAGGTTAATGTATGCAAAGGGATTCACACCAGATCAGCCAAATCCAATCAAAATATTTCAAGCAGCAAAAAATAACCCATCCACCCCCTTCCCTGGGTTACAGCACAAACAAGAAAGAAAAGCTGAAGAAACGGGTAATTGTGACACCAAGGGACAAGCAAGTGAGGTTAAATTGCTGCCTGCCCTTTATCTGCCACAAAAAGTCTCGCTAGATTTACGGTGAATACCAAGTGGCATCTGTGTGTGTGTGTGTGTGTGTGTTTACAGAGGTTAATGCAGAAGCTTTGTGAGAAAATATAATGGAAAAAATTGTTTAGATATAGTATTCAAGTTCCACCTGAGTTGCAAAATATTACCAAACATCAACTTTGTAGCTTTTAAACTCCTTCAAAATGTTTTGGTCAAACAACCCATTTCTCCATTTATTTATTTTTTTACCTTAACTTGATTCTTCCTTCCAAGACATATAAGCAATGATGGAATATCATGATGCAAACTAAAGACCAAACTTTTCTCCATGAAAAAGAGGCAAATCTCCTGATCATCAGTTTTGCTAACTTAAGGATCAGATCACTAGATCAAAAAATATCAAGGACACATTCCTAACTAACATTTCAGCACAGGACATTTGATTACATACAATCGCAGAAACAGATATAAAGGTTGTCATTGGTTCCAACAAAATAATGACTTCAATAAATAATTTTGAACTTTTTCTCAAGACCAAAAGCTTTATCTGCTAGCATTAAATTATGAAGATAGAAGTCCAGAGAAGTTGAAACCATTTCTAACCTGTGCATCTTCCTCTTCCCCTTTATATCTATTAATTTATCATTGTTTGATGATGGACTTGGATTAGTTTATAAGTGCTACCGGTACATGTCTTTGCAACTGTTCAATAAGCAATAGGCAACGTTTCCATCAGAAGCAAGTGTGAAGGAAGGAAGGATCAAACCTGCGTAATTTATTTAAATACTGCATACATGCATAGTGGAAGAAATTTTTTTACAATTTTTGTATAATTAAATAACTGGTTTATTTAACATTAAGACAAACCTCAGGGTCTGGGAAAGTCAGCCAGAGTCTATTGATTATATCTGATCCAAAATCAATCCAAAGGCCCTTTTGTGAATCAATAGAAGATAAAGGTTTCTTGATTTGCATTTCTGACTGAAGTTCTATCCAATTGGGCTACCTTTTATAAAGGACACACCAACTTCAGAGGAGTTTCCCTGGAAAATATGAAGATCTCATATGTAGGAATTTGAGCCTTCACAAATTCCAAAGTCACTGTATGAACTGCACCCAGTATTTTGTGAGCTTTTATGAGCATTTATTGGGCATTTTCTACTTAAGATATTAAGCTACTACGGCTCAATCTATTTTAAGAATACCGTGCAGTGGTGGGTTGCTACCGGTTCGCCCCAGATCAGGTAAACCAGTAGCAGTGGTGGCAGGAGGCTCCGCCCACATGCCTGGATGTTTCTGCACATGCACAGAAGTGTCGCACGCACGCAAGCACGCCCACGAGCGAACCGGTAGCAACGGGCTTTGAAACCCACCCCTGATATCATGTGTGTGTGTGTGTGTGTTTCAAAATTATGGGCTGGAACATAAACACAACCCTTGAAGACTCTGTTTTTGAAAACTATAGTGATCTTCTTAATTTATCCCAAGAGCTCAAAACAAGGGAAATCTCAGGTGAAATATTATTTGTGGCAATGGCTTTCAACTTAACCAAACTTTAAAACCCAACGAAAGAGAGAAAAGGGTTACATCTTTATGAAATCATTCACCTCAACTACAGAATGGAGCATAGGACACAGTATTATTCACCTGAATTACTTGTTTTCTATGTAATACAATCATCTCAAGGACCCACAATGCCTTTTGCAAGACCATTGATCCTGTTGATTGACAATCATAGCTACCCTGAACGTTAGTAGAATTTTTAATAATGGTCAAGAGATACAATCTAACTGTTCCCAAAGCTTTCTCTATAAAATTGTAGAAATTCTCTTAAATATACAGATTTTAGCATATCGCATGGGCTTGTGTATTAAAATGTAAAGTTTTGAATGGAGTACCCTATATTAAGCAGCTTTTTCTATTAATTCCTTTTTCAAATATAATTGTATAAGTCACAACCGCTTTTTTAAAAACTTGGTTCCATAAAATATTGTAATAAAAGACTCCAATAAGCCAGTTAAAACATCCCTGGATTTAAACACTAAATTTGCTTATATTCTCTCTCCCCCATCCCCATTCCACTAAATGGCATGCAAATCACATTGAATTTATGCTTTGTCCCCAAAAAAGTGTATTGAGAGATTGCAGAACTGGTGACGAGTGTGGTTATTGGCAAAGTTAATTAGTGCTGTAAGATATTTCAGGAGAAATAATATTGACCACATGATTACCGGAATGCTCAAACATTTCCCTCTGGAAGAAGCCAAAAGTGATAACTGTCATCAGAGATTTCACTTAACAGAAAGATAGAGCTCATAAACTGCTAGCCATACTTAGTATTCACTGTAGATGGAATGAAATGAAGTCTTTTTAAAATAAGTCTGTTTTGAAATGATTTTCTTTCTTTTTTTCCAGGAAGGTGAGGTTTAGAGTTTGGGACTGGTCCCCAGTGATGGGAAGTTGCGAAGCAGCTTCTTTGCACCTCTCTGAATGAGATATTCAAGCTGTCAGCACAAACGTCTTCAGGAATTCCAGTGCTGGGGTCTGGAAAGTTTCAATAGACAGAAGAGCTGCATTTCAAATACTTAGCAGGATGAATAATGCTCTGCAGACACTTCAATGGTGCTTTCATAGTCCCTGAAATTTATGGTCAAAAGTACCAACTGGATCTGCCAGTCATTCGTCCTCTTCTACATAGGTCGATGGAAACCAGCCCACCTAAATGAGAAAAGAAAACATGGTTATCTGGTTGAACTTTGTTCCACTCGAGATAATTTTGTGCATGACCCTCCTTTCAAATAGAAAATGATTTAGAAAAGGATAAAAACTGCAATAAAATTAATTTTTGTGGCAGAACATGTACTGTTTCTTTGGAGAAATATACACTTAATCATCAATAGGCCTGACAGAAATTCAGATGTTGTTCTCAGCCAATATGCTTGCTGCAACCTTTTCAGAATGGATATAGAAATGTATAGAACTAAATTCTGGTCCATCTACGATCAACAGGATAGTTTTTCCTGTTAACATACTTTTTGGCAGTATGTTGTGGTCCGCCAGCAGTCTGCGGAGCTGGCAGCGGAGTCGGACAGTGAGGAGGCTGGGGAGGAACATGGGCCAGTCTTGGAGTCTGGGGAAGGCCCAGACGAGAGCTCTGCATCAAAGGCAGAGATCGGGACAGGGCCATGCACGGTCTCTGGAGCCCCCAGAGTCGGACAGCAGAGAGGCAGAGGAACAGGAGGAGCCTGTTCCTAGTGCAGGCATGCGCAGAGCTGCCAGAAGGCAAGAGCAGCTAAAGCAAAACGGACGACTTGAGAGTAAGGCCAGGAGATGATTGGCCCCATCCATAAGGCTTAAAAGAGAAACAAAGGCACTTGGGACTTTTGCAGGAAAGCAACGTTGCTAACTCTGTTTCTAGTCGGCATCTCTTATTTGTTTCTGAACTTCGTGGGGCTTTGCCAAGTAAGGCCTTTGGCAGGGTGTCAAAGAAGATAAAGGTTGGTGATTATCCCGAAGGACTTCTTCCGAAGGACTTGTTTTGCAACTAATTGGGATTCAGCTAGGAATGAACGTAATTCTCAGCTGTTACAATAAAATAGGGGTTTTTTGGGACTAATTGTGTATTGTAATGACTCAGTAAGCCTAGGTCACAACACAGTATGAAAGCACAGCTACAAGCCAACATTTGTGGCCACTATGTACCTTTCCCCCATTGGCTAGATGGGGAGCAAACATCTGAAGTGAGCTGTATCTCACGAAAACGTATGGATTTTAATAATATTTGTTAACCGGAAAAAGTGTTCCCAGTCTCCTTTTGATTTTGATTTTCTACCTAACAACAAAATAATTCCTCTTGCTCCAATCCACTTTCCTATAGGATAGACAAAAGAGAAGCAATCAATCCCTTGGTGGAGCAATAGCTGAAATCTATGTTTCCCTCTCTCTTAAAGAAATATGTGCAATGCGTGAGTCAGATCTTCCCAGCTCTCATTCGCTGTTGCTAGAAAAAACATGTGGTACATCCTTTCCTCATCTAGCTTTTTTGTACATTTCTGAAATTGAGGACAGATGCTGGACTGTTGCAACATCACTGGGATAAACTTTTCCACTTCTTTAGCTTCCACATTGGGTGGAAGGATTTTTGCTTATCAAAAATCAAAAAATAAAAAATTTTAAACAAAAATATACGATATCATCAAGAGAGTAAAAGAATTTAAATAGAAAAGGGCTGGTCACACAGCAAGAAGAACTGATGGCAGGGGAACCAAGGCAGTCACAGAATGGATCCCACTTGATAAAAAGCATCCACAAAAGAAACCTAAAACAAGATGGAGTGACGACGTGAGCCAGTATTGCAGGCCCAATTGGCAAAAGAAAGCTCAAGACCGTATTGGTTGGAAACATGTAGAAAAGGCCTTCATCCCACAGTGGATAGACAATGGCTATGATGATGATGATGATGATGATGATGATGATGATGATGATATTGTAGACACAAACATCTAGACTATTGTAATTTATAGTTAATCTAAATTTCAGAAAGACAGCAAGAATGTTTGACATTTTCATGGGAAATTACTAAACATTCAATTCCAATATACTTCATACCATATACATTACATACACCTTAAGAATCAGGTGGAAGATAGAGAAAGGCTTACCCTTCCATTGACTTCACCTCTCCACCAGCCATTGGCGCTAATTTTTGTGTATATTTTGACCACATCTCCTTTGAGCAGGGATAATTCACGCATGTCTCTTGCACAGAAATCATAGCGAGCGATGGCTATCCCGAGGACTTTGGGACTCAGCACTGGGGGAAATACAAGTAGGCAACATTATTTGAAGTTTCATAAGTGCACATCAACTGAGTAACATTAGCAACTCTTTTTGTATGCCAGTCTAGTACAAATGGAAGCGGAAATGAAGAAATGTGTGGTCTTATGAATGAATGAAATTCATTCCATGCAATCAATTTTCTTTCTTATTGCTTGCTGGTTGTAGTTATTTAGGGAAAAAAATTGCATATTCCTAAGATCATTGGCTGAGGTGTCAAAAGACCATAGACCTATTCTTTGCACTTCTAAGGGATTTTGCTGCTTCTTCTCTCAAGGTTGTTTCTCTAAATCAGCTGCTTCTTGATATCAATGAATCATTCAAAGTTGCAGGAAGAACCAATATAAACAGCACCTTTTTCTTCTTCTTCTTCTTCTTGCCTTTTGATTCAAAGCTACCGATAAATGTGCCTCCTTGAATTTTGACTATTTTACTGAAATTAATGAGGCATATTTCTAAGGGCAAGATATTCTCCAATGATTCCTAGAGTATTTCTGGGCCAAAAACACTTTTTCCAGGACATAAATGTAAAGCTCTGGAGTTTCAGTGTGACTAAGAAGTACAGAGAAAAACTACAGAATTTACTGAGGTTCAACACCAAGCCATTACGACTTTGGTTCTTTCAAAGTAAGGGATTACCTCCCCTTCAATTCTCCCCAACTGCCTATTCTTCCATATGATTGCTCTTTGGGTCAGTCGGTATCCTGCTTGCTAGCAGTCTAGCAAGGCAGGATACTGATACTCACACAATATCCGACCTTGCTAGCAATCCCCAAACCACATGGCTCACCTGACACTATGGGTCTGAACCTTCTTGGCACACTACGAATCTGGGTCTGCAACAAACCCAAGCTGCAGTGCACACATGAAGCTGCAGACATACTAGGAAACTTTGAGAACCATAGCCCAGCAAGTAGAAAGCGCAGTGCAAAGCTACCGCTGCCCTGAGAAGGCTCAGCACAACAGTGTGGTACAAAGTTGCAGCTACCGTAGGAAGCCCCAGCCCAGCCTAGCAGTGTGACACAAAGCCACAGCCACCCTGGGAAGCTGCTTCCACCCAAACCACATTTGCCCTTGTCCTTCATCAACCCTAGCTGATCTTCACCATATTTTGTTCCCTCTGTTGCAAAGGCATGCCCACTCTAGCCCTTTGCAAAACAATTGTAGGCCACATGATCACCAGATCTTGCAAGGAAACCACTCGTGCAATCTAGGGGAGAAAGCCTCATTGTAAGGGTAGGTGGGCTGCCATGTTTTGATTGTGTGACTGCAGGGGCACTGCAGCAGCTGTAACTTCAATTGGTTGTTAAGTCCCTTCATTCAGTGCCACTGTAACTTCAAACAGTTGCTGAATGAATGATCATTAAGAAAAGGACTACCTGCAAGGTAGTGCTATTAAGAGAAGGTGCATGAAGTGTATTCAAGAGCCAGGCCAAAAACCTTCCGACAGAGGAATGGCTAGAGAAAGATCAAAAGGCACAAAGCACCATCCCCCATAGTATCAATGATGATCAAATTGTGTATATATACCATTGTGAAATTGCAAAAAAAAAAAAAAAAAAGCTATGGAAAATTCATTAGAGAGCAAATCTCAGCAATAAACTTTACCAGATGAAGCTGATGAAAGACCATCAGATGGAAGACTATATGAGTCAGCTGAACTTTGAGATGGGCAGCAAATAAATTTGATAAACAAACAAACTATAGTGGATGCATTATAGAAATGGTTAAAGTCCTGCAAGTTTCAGAGATAAAATGATTTACATACTATAATTTGCAGAATGGCAGATAGAGATATAGTCTATGAGTGCACGAGGGGACATAGAGCTAGAGATGGGGTGGGGGGGAGAGAGAGAGAGAGAGGGAGAGAGAGAGAGAGATCTGCATCAAAACAAAAGTCACTGAACAATGGAATATGGATCAAAGGCATGTTGATTGATTTTAAGGTACAGGGATACAAATTTTGGATGGGAGCTACCATGTTCCTAAAGTTAGGAGCCCAAAGCAAGCACGTGTTGAACGTTGAACCCAAATCCTTTCATCGTAGTAAAAATATAACTGTAGAAATGACTATACTTCAACAACATTAAATTCTACCTCCCGCTTTCATAAAAAGCATGAACAATCAGCAATACTTTTTTTCTAAATTCAAAATCGAGGGTTTGTAAAAATGGCAGCTATTATTTAAAAAATCACTATTTACCACCACAAATTGCTGCACATGGTTTTGTGTCATGTGGACTCATATAGTACAAAAAAGCAGCATCTCCGTAACAGTAACAGATAATGCATTCAGGAAAAAAAAATCTATGCAACCATCAGTGACCAAAATTGAAATGCCTCAGATGAACACACACTCTGAAAACAAATTCTGCTTTTTTTTTTGTCACTACAAAAAATATTTTAGGAAAATAGAATGGAGGCGAATGATAGGATCCAATATTTTATATTAACTTACATTATGATACATACGATTCACTAATGTCTAGATACATTAATTAAACTAACACTTGCACAAAAGTTGTCAAATGCCAATAGTTCTTTCGCTATGTCGCAATTGTCGCATTATGCGAAATGACAGGAGAAAAGCAAGAAGAAAAAGAAACGTGGCAAGAATTCACACAGGCAAAGCTAGAAAAACATTATATGGTGATTGCTTAAATCAGGCAAGACATTGTCACTAATGCTCCAAAATGAACAAGATTTGATTTGGCTTGATCTAATCTAATCTAATCTAATCTAATGTAATCTAATCCAATCTATCAAACATTCCGTTTTCCATAGCAGCCAGAAAGATGCATTCTGGAAGGCCAACAAAAGGCAACCAAATATTGTGCCCAGAATCTGTCCTTTGAGATACCATTGGTTCTATACGTAAAACTTCCATTTAGCCTTAATTGTCAGATTCATTTAATTCCCACATAAACAGCTATTGGTCTGAGTAGATCACAAAAATGAAGATACTTCTCTCTTTAAGGAGAGCTCTGCCACATAGTGAAAGCATATATCTCTGAGGCTGAATTTATACGCATAGAAACATCTGGAGCTATATAACTATTGCCCATCATGTTTTGCCCCTGTTGGGACTCAAATAAACATTCCATAGGGAGGAATGGAAGAACACATCAAAGGCCTCTTTGTCCACCCCAGGATTGTTTCTATCTTGTCTTCGGAAGTTAATCTTCTTACCACAGGAATATCAAAGGAGGTTTAAAAAAAAAAAAAAAGACAAAACAGAGTCAACAAATTAAGTTCCCCATCCCAAAGCAGATGGTTGAACATCTGGTCAATGCATTCTAGTGGTTAGCACTGTGAGTTAGTAGCATTTTCACATCTTGAGGCAGAAAGCTTAATGAAGAGTTGTATAAAAAGTTACTGCATAAAAGATGTTACCTAGTCTGGTTAACGAAATGTCCGGGAGCTAAAGAACAGGCTTGGAGAACAGCCCACTGCCAAAACTACAACCCTGAACTACGAATATTCTCAATAATTTTTAAAAGTTATTTTCCCTGATCTGCATGAATGGGAACACTCGCCCTGATTTACTGTCCTTTCCTATTAACATGGAACATATCCAGATTTGGCTTTAGATCCATGTGGGAAGCAAGCAAGTTGCAGTTAACATCAATTAATCCAGTGTATTGTAAGATTCTTTCCATCATATTTGGCCTTAGCTTCCTCTGGTTACAAAGAAAAGGATTTGTGCAAACAGGGAACTTCACAAGCAAGTCTGGTCTTTCCCATCAGGTTCTAATTTAAACAGCCTCCATCTTCAGTCCTACACATCATAACGTTGGGATTCAGAACTGAGTAAATGATTCATCTACCTAAATATAATGCCGGAAATTTGACACATTATTGCAAAAAAAAAAACCCCAAAAAACCACCACCCCAATTCCTACCCCTTTAAGGCACAAATGTCTTTTGGTGGGTGAGACAATGAGAAGTGACTAAAGGAAACACAAATGCATAGAAGATGGATAAAATTAACTTACAGACAATGTGCATGCAAAACTGCCATATATAGAAAGCTACCTTCTCTCTTGTACTTTATCCTAAAATGTTCTGGCAAAATGGCTTTTAGGGATGGGACGAATATTTGAGGGTGCCGAAAATAGAGTAGAACCATTTAAGAATATCAATAGCTATACATAATGTAACCATGTTGTTTGTAATAGTTTTGATTGGCCACCTGGGCACTTTCCCCAATATTCTGAAAAGGTAATATTCCAGAACCAGGTTTTTGGCATTCCCTGCATAGCTGGCAGAACATTTAGATGACCTTCTTGAATGTCAAAGGGCAATATCATATGACAGTCCCAGATCACTCACTTTTTCACGTGCTTTAAACATTCTCTGGCTAGGTCAAAGCAGCTGAGAGTAAATCACTTCCATGGAGCTAAAGTAATATATTTGTAAGCTGCAATTGTGTTAATAATTCAAATTATGTTCTAAGGTTGGCAAATGAATCCGTCCCTTCCCTAGGCTTGCACTGCACACAGAAACTGAAATACCGAACTTGTAAAACAAGCAAACAGAGAATAAATAGAAAGCAGTAAAGCAGTACCTGACCAGAAAGGAGTGGAGGAAGGGGGAACAAAGCTGTAGTCTGGCAGAGTTACAAAAGAAAACCCACAGAACAAAGAAGGGTCTTAAACAAAGAAAAGAAGAAAAAGAGAGAGAGAGAGAGAAGCAAAATGACATTGAATGGTTGGTAAAAAGAGTATTCAGATATTCTTATGACTTGCATCTGTTTTAAGAAGAAACAAACATTTTCTTGGCTGTTTTGCAGCTTTTTTTTTTAAAAAAAAATCTCTTACCTGCTTAAAGGCATAGTTTACTCCTTTGCTTTGGCCATTTCGTTCCCCCACTCCCTCCTGCAACTTACTAGGAACACTCATTTTGCCAAAAATAAATAAATAAATAAATAAATAATGAATTTCCATGGACAAGGATGAAATTTATTTTTATGCACATGCTTATGCCACCCTGTAGGTTGGCGCGGCAATTGTTTTAGCAAGCAACTGTAGGTTGGTAGCCCTGTGTCAGATTAAAACTTCCGATCTCCAGTCAGCCATGAAGTTCCTTGGGTAACTCTGGACCATCCATAGCAAACTAGGAGGATAGCAATGGATTTGCAGAAGACATACGCATGTCATCTTGAATTCATCTCATTTTAAGGAAGTGGGGCATTTATTGGCTTTATTTTGTTTCCATACTCCAGAAAGAGTTGCAAAGGTAAAAGATGAATGAATGGGTATTTTCAATAATAGTCTTCATGGCATGCCAGCAAAATGCAGGGACTTTCAGCTGCTTTTAAGTTCCCAAAACTTTTAGAAATAGATATGGAATCTTCCTTAGCACATGGATCATTTAGTATCATAAGGAGCAACAATACTGAGATAGAAAAAACATGTGATGTACAAATGCATTTCCTGAATCACTCTGATTTTTTTAACAGTTGCAAAGCAGGGCCCTTATAACAAGAGCAATAAGAGCAAAGCCTTTTCAAAGATCTTAAATACTATTAACTAGTTAGTGTATTTTAATACAATACGCAGAAGAGTTGAAAAAGCATTAACCTTGTTGTGATAAAGGTGCTTCTCACAATCATTTTCTAATTCATCGAAACTGGAAAATCACGGGTATCCATTTCTGAACAAGCATGGATATACTAAACCACACTCTTGAAGTTGACTATGGTTAACAATAAAAATGGTAGCTGGGAGGTTGAAGCTACACTTACTCAAAATAACCCCACTGAAATCAATGAAATTTAAGAAGTGCTGTTCATTTCAATGGCTAACCGAAGTACAAACTCAAGTTGATGGGATTAATTGATGAATTAGGAAATTATAGTTAATTCCTAATCTGATGGGTGAAGGGAAGAGTACTGAAACTGATCATGTAGGCAAAAGATTTATTAATACCTCAGTTTATTAAGCAGCTCCACACATAGCCAACAATTACCACATTCAACCATCAATCTTATATTGCTATTGGGGTAGAATTACAACACCGTCCTGCTGCTTTTTGCTAAGAAGCAGATTGTCTATCTCTTCCCCAAATTAACAGGCAGTGAGGAACAGCGAAACCCAACACCCATGAGAAACAATTCACTGCTTTCAATACAGAAGCCATCCCCACAGAGTTATCGCGCACAAACAAAATTTTGTCTTTTTTATCATACAATTAAGCTTTCTCAATCATAGAATGTAACAAAACACCCAGAAGGGATTATTATTATCTTCTGCCAGTAACACATTTTTTTTCTTTCAATGTGTTGAAAAGAACTTTTAACAATACAGTACTGTTAAAAATGAAAAGACAGAATGGCTGGAGAGCTAGGGACCAAGTCTTTGGAAAGCCACTGAAAATGCCGGAAAAGAATACAAATCAGTTATTAATTAGCTTATCATATTAGTTCTCCATATTATGAAAACTTAGAGCTGGAAATTAGTGCTAGGAAATTATTATTAGCTGGAAATTAGTGCTAGGAGATTATTATTAGCTGGAAATTAGTGTTTAGAGATCGCTTCACAAATGATCTTCTATTGCTGAGATGACTTGATGCTAATTCAAGCTCACAGATTTGTTGATCCTTGTGAAACAACTGCAAATAATTGTGCTGCAGCTTTTGTGTTTATAATTCTCACACCACAGTCTCTCTCCTCTTATTGTTCTTTTATATATAAAACTGCAAAGAAAGGACAAACTGAAAGAAAGCATTGCAACTTCCATAATTATATTCATGTTTATTGTAACAAAACACTACTATAAAGATGTGTAGTTGATCACATGAGTCCTCCTCACTCTGCAGCCAAGTGTTCGTTGTCCATGAATAGATTTTTCTGATTGTCCTTGTTCTTCTGCACAATCCTCTCCCAAATGTGACATATTCTCTTTCCTGCCAATGCTATTGGTTGTTATTGTTGTTTTTCTGTTGATTTATACAGGATGAAGATTCTCTTGTAATCATTCTATAGATATTAAGCATACCATTTCCCCTATTTATTAGCTGTATAAAGAATTGGCTCTGGAGGACAGGCCCTGTTCTTAATGTCACAGCCTCAACTTTCCTGCTCCTAAACATTTCAAAACATCTTCCTGTCTTTAATGGGCACTCAGAAAGGCTCTGAAATTATCCATCTGCTTCTCAGTAATTTAGCAGTGTATTAAAAGGGCATACGTGTGTCTACATGATTTTTAATCTTCTGCCATTATTTTTAGAAATTTCTATTGCTCATAAAATCTAAACTACCCAATTCCAGCACTATGAAATTTGGCAGCAATCACAATGGTTACAGAATCAAGTGAAGCTAATGTACAGATGCCCAGATGCTCTAAGCAACTTCAAATCAGTTACCAGGACTGGTATTCCTGTTGTTTTACCAAATACTAAGGACAGCATAGGTCAGCTCTGTGAAACTCCGCACTATAGGTAATCCTCAATTTACAACAGTTCATTTAATGACCGTTCAAATTTACAACGGCACCAGAAAAAGTGACTTATGACCAGTGGTGAGCTGCAACTGATTTAACAACCGGTTTGGTGAGCATGCACAGCATTCAAAATACAGCAATTTGAAGCTCAGCTGTTTACCTTCTAAGGCAGCCCTGGTAAGTAGAACAGCGGAGGCATGGAAATCAGCTGTGCCGCGTGAATCAGCTGAGCCAGAAAGAAGGAAATATAGGACAGGATAGGGTGGGGGTGGGTGGGTGGGCGGGGCCAGTTGATCATCAGAACTACCGGTTCCCCCAAACCAGCAGCAGCCCACCACTGCTTATGACCATTTTTCAGAGTTACAACCTTTGCAGCATCCCCACCATCATGTGATCAACATTCAGATGCTTGGCAACTGGTTCATATTTATGACCTTTGCAGTGTCCCAGGGTTTTTGAGAACTTCTGGCAAGCAAAGTCAATGGGATAGCCAGATTCACATAACAATCGGGCTAGTAACTTATAAACTGCAGTGATTCACTTAACAACTGTGGCAAGAAAGGCCGTAAAATGAGGCAAAACTTAACAAATGTTTCATTTAACAACAGAAATTTGTGCCCAACTGTGGTCATAAGTCAAGAACTTCCTGTGCTGGTTTTTGAAATTAATTATAAACATATATAGATGGAAATCTGTTTGCCTCTGTCCAACCCCAATTAGGTTACTCTAAAGTCTTATTTAGGAACACCAACAAATAGAATTGTAGAATTGTCATTCTGACCTTAAGCTTCTTTAGAAAAACTCTGCATTATAAGACTGTGGTTTTAAACAACAAGAATAATTCATTTAAATGTCAAATGCCAAATTTGAATTACATGTTTATTAATTCATGTAGCCGAAAGCAGCTTAGCCAATGCAAAATGCCTGTTTACAAATCAATTGCTCACTTACATTTTTAATAGATGTTTGAGCAGCAATTTGATTTAAGAAGAGGGTGTCAGGAAGTCTAACTGGACCTGTTCATAAACCTGTCAGCAGATGCTGATTCTGCTTAGCTGCAGAAAAGTCTGGCTAAATGCATTATCATATTAATAGGTTATATGTCAAAAATGCAAAATGGAAGATGCTTTCAACTGAATTTCATTTCTGTATAATAAAAACAACAACAAATGATAATGCTTACAATTGCTGCTTGCTCGGTGGCTCCTTTGATCCTGTGTATTTTCACATTCTTTGTATGGGTACTGAAGAGTCGTATCCAAACTTCGGAAGCCTTCTTTGAGAGACTGGTGTTTGTAATATTCCACAAGTTCCTTCCAGAATACAAATATTTAGACAGACTTTAATAATTATTTCTCTTGAATTTTCATTGCACAGATATTTGATGACACTTGCAATCAACATCAAAAGTCATCTTCCATCATGACACAGGGATTAACAGCAGGAAGTGTATAATTTGGTGGAAAGAGAAGTAAATGAATTCCACAAACTGTCCCATCTCTGTTATGAAACTGCAAGTTTGACTGGGCCATTGTGAGCATTTTGGAAGTGGTCCTACTTCAGATTAATGTGTTGAAAGTCAGAACTTCACAGGTTCAGGCTTGAGGTGCTTTTGTTATGCTCAGAATCACCCACTCGGCTTTGAAAAGGATATTTGGCAAAAATTCATACTCTAAATAAGGTGTGTCAAATTTGCGGCCTGGATTTGTCACACACTGGCCACACCCGCACCTGGTTTAGTGAAGGGGGAGAAATCGTGATACGTCACGTGACAATGCCGTGATGACGCGAGTTTGACACCCCTGCTCTAAATGTTTTGAACACACCCGTGGCGAGTTTTGATTTAGGAGTGAAAAATGGTGGTTGCTCATACTGTAGAAATGGACCTTTATTCGTGCAAGGCTGACTTAATTCTTATCAAAGATACTGTATGAATCAAACAAGTATCAACAAGTATCAGCTTTAAACATTTCTTACATTGAAAAAACTGCACATAAAAGTAATTAAATTTTGAATTGATTATAATGGAATGGTTCTTCCTGTATCTGTTTTTCTACATGCATGGAAGTATGCGCTTCTGTGAATCAATGACATCAGTGATGGGTCGCCCCCAGTTCACCCTGATTCGGGCGAACCGGTAGTGCGGCAGCAGGAGGCTCCGCCCACCCACCCAGACGTCATCCAAAAGATCTGTGCATGCGCAGAACCACGGCGCACTCGCGAAGCAAGCGTGTGCACCCACGTGCTACCGATAGTGAACCGGTAGCACCGGGTTTTGAAACCCACTACTGAATGACATCCTTCATTCATGTGGGCCATAGTTCCAACCTAAATTTATTACGTTACATAATGCTTACATTAATTAGTGTTTGGATTTTCTTACACTTATTGTTGTTATCCTGGTTATTCCTTATAACATCCTGGTTACTCCTTATAACATCTATATGAAGTATTTTGCCCACATATGTTTACTAATTGGTTTGTACCAGAAAAAAAATCACTCTGAATTGACTTGCCAAAAAAAAAAAACAACCCTATCTTGGAACAATGGCAATCCCTGGGAAAGAGCTAAAAACACGAATATCTATGTTGAAGCTCATATTTGATCAGAACAATATTCACTGCAAATTTCTCCAGGACATACAGGATCAAATGTCCTTTTCCACATATATTCATCAACTCAGAATGTGAAATTAAGTTTTCTGGTTTAACAATGCATGAACCAAATGCAGGACCCAAAGGAGATGTATGTTAATATTTAGTATTTATTTTCGTTCTCTTAGCTACATGGCAAGGGTAAGCAATCCTATTGCTTCTTTTAATTGTTATCTAAGCTGATCTGAACACACTATATATGGATCAGAACTAGTTATCCACAAATTCTATGCTTCATTTATGTTGTGATAATCAGGGCCAGATTTTCCTATAGGCTAACTAGGCTTCAGCCTAGGGCCTCAAGATCAAGAGGGGCCTACATTCAAATTGTTAGCAAAATTAAAATTACACTTTCACTATAGGTGAAAGGGCCTCATAAGTGGAATAGCCTAGGGCCTCTTTTCATCTAAATCCGGCCCTGGTGATAATGTACAGTTGATTATCTTTGAATGGATGGATGGATGACAGACAATGACAAATCGATGGATGGATATCGCTGAAGTTGTACAAATCATTCAGAAAAGATGTTTCACAACCCATATTCACAAACAATTCTTTCTGTTCAAATTATTAAAGCTGGTACACACTTCCAGGATTCACATGGTTGCTTTAAAAGCCATTTTTGGCTGTCTCCACAAGCATATATGCGTAACTTCTTTGAAGTAGCAATAACAATAGCATTTAGCATTTACAATACTCTCTGGGCAGTTTACAATCCTCAGCATATTGCAATCTGGGCTCTCATTTTATCAACCTTGGAAAGATAGAAAGCTTGAGCCTTGTCAGGATCAAACTCCAGGCTGCGGGCAGAGTTTGCCTGCAATACTGTACTTTAACCACTGTGTCAAGTAGGGGTTTCACTGATAACAGCTTTTGAAGCAGAGTGTGCTCATTGGGTTAAAGTAATTTAGCTTTTTTTATTTTAAAAAATTACGTCTTTAAACTCTTCTTTGTGGATACTTTAGACATATTGTATATTTACATGCAGACCAATTTATGACTATAATAATAATAATAAACTCAACTAATATAGCTAACTTCTCTTAAAAGGACGATCAAACTGTATTATAAACTGTTGTGGGAGAAAATATTACTAGAAATATGTATTTTGATAAGAAAAATTTGATAAGAAAAATTCCAAAGCACCTGAAAGCCAGACAAGGAATAATGGATGGAAACTGATCAAGGAGAGATTTAACCTAGAAATAAGGAGGAACTTTCTGACAGTGAGAACAATCAACCAATGGAACAGCTTGCCTTCGGAAGTTGTGGGAGCTTCATCACTTGAGACTTTCAAGAAGAGATTGGGCTGCCATTTGTCAGAAATGGTGTAGGGTCTCCTGCTTGAACGGAGGGTTGGACTAGATGACCTACAAGATCCCTTCCAACTCTGTTAATCTGTTAAGTATGCTTTAAATCAGGGGTCTCCAACCTTGGCAACTTTAAGCCTGGCGGACGCCCAGAATTCCCCAGCCAGCAAACCTTAAAGTTCCCAAGGTTGAAGACCCCTGATTTAAACCATCTTTAAATCAATGGCTGATAGAATGAACATGTGAATAAGAAGCAGTAACTTCCAACAGATTGAAACATTTAATTTAGGTTCTTGTTCCTCGCCTATTCTTGATTATTTTGTAATAAACCTGCAGATAGCACAATCAGTTCCTTAAAAAAGTGGGGAAGAACTTTCAGAAGACAGACAAGCAACCATCAAAAACATTCAAAACAGGCCTGACAAACTTACTTCTAATCATTTTTTTTAGTTCCTTACATGCTAATGGCTTAATGAAAATGTATAAATCGGTGGCTAATACAGGCCTCTCCATTTATATTAAAAATTGATTCAAAGGGGGGGGGGCAGTTATCCCTGGAAAATACGCTAGTGATTAATTGTCACAGCTGCATCAACGCCAAACATTTAGATTTCATGAATTTCAAGTGGCAGACATTCAAGCACATGGTCCTTGGGATCAATGAGTTTCAATATATTTAGGTTTGGCTTGGTGGCATTTATTGCTTCTAGTTTTGAAGTGCTGGTCTTCTGTTACATGTGAATACATGAAATATACAGCCCTCAAAGGCGTGATAAATCTCCTGCTATTGCTGATCCCATCTCTATATGGAAAGGTCACAGCCCTTTCCTAACATAATGTTTATGTTCATGTTTTCCCTTTATTGCTATGTGCGCAACAGTATATTTTTTACTGCAAGGTATATTTTCTGCAATCAGCCGGAAAAATACTGGGAAAGTAAATGGTACAAAAGCTCAGATTGATACAATTTCTTGATAGACAAAGCAATAGCAGTGTTTGATACCTGTTTTCTGATTCAGTAACCTGAGAGTAAATTTCTATGATAAAAGAAACGAGTTTTCCTTGTCAAAGGACTGCATGTCTCATATAACAATATACACAAATAATGGTCTTGCAAATATTTCTCGATGGATAAGTCAGATGTCTCTGAAACAGCCACTATTGCTTCTCTCTGTTTGTTTGCTTTTAAATAGCAGAAATCTTTAGCTAAAAGACTGTAGCTACACCACAGCTATCAGATAATGGCATGCCCCTGGCATGGTCCTAGTAAACAGTAGCTGTGGTTTGCCAAGTCAATGGCCTGGGAGAAGACATTCTTTGTATTTTATTAGATGGCATGAATATCAAGATCGTGAAGCTTTTAAAAAAATATACAATGTACTTTCAAGAGTTACATCTATATCAGAACATGCACAGAGAGTCTAATGTGTTATCTGAATTATAATGCACATTATATCAAAGCTTCAGCACACAAAAGAAAACGTCCAGATGTCTTCTCTCTGAAACAGATGGGTTTGTTATAGTTTACTGGAACTACATAATAATCATAATCCTAAATTACCTTTTGAAAGTATTTGACTCCGTGCCTCAGTATAAAACTTCAAACCTGCAAAATACTGAGATTTTTCCTCAGCTATGAAGTTTACTAAAGGGAATCAATGTCTCTTGGCCTAACCTAAGCCTGCAGGATTGTCATAAAGGGGAAAAAAAATAAAATCAATCATCTTGGAAGAAGGCGTGAAAAAAATGTAATAAAATAGATTGAAATATTGTGGCAATTTTCAAACAGCAGTTTTGCATTCTGGGAAGGCATCATTCTCTGGTGGAACCAGATAATGTGTTCCTCAGACTTCTGATGGCTCTGTCTGATCTTGAAGGTCTGTGTGTTGGGATTTCCCCCCCCCCCCCAATTTAGTTACAATTAGAATCACTGGAAGTTGTACGGTGTACAAATTAATTAAATAAGTAAATAGAAATATCTAAAAAGACTGCTTACTCAAAACAGTAACCTACCCACAGGATTTAGAAAAGTTACATTCTGGGCTTATTTTAAACCTCCTTCACTTCAATGGCCCTTTACATTTTGTATATATGTGGAAATAAGTTCCATTGATCTCTAGCAAGGCTCTTTCCGAATAAGCATGTGCAGGTCAGATTGTAAAACATATTTAGCATTTGCTTAGTCTTTCTGCAACAATAATACAAGTCTTGCACTTTTTAAACAATGAATTATTTTACAAATAACTGTACAAATGCTAACTCTTACTCTTCTAACATTCTAATTCATTTGTAACCAATAGATCTTGGTACAATGAAATTAACTCAGAATAAATGATCATATAAATGACAATAGGGGAATACCAATTAAGGCTCTAATAATAATGCAAGACATATATTTCACAAAACCCCTGAAATTCTTTAAGAGAGCATGTTTCTGGTATATCTGTTCCTCCCCCCACCCAACTCCAAATGATAATTATCTAAAGAAGAGGTTAAGAAATATGCAAAAATATCAAAGCAAAAGCAACTCATTTATTTTGCTGTTTCAAACCACAGCAATCTCTTTTCAAAGTGAAAATATAAGATAACTTATTAGAACAAACTGCTACTCATCACCAATTCATTCAATATAGTCATGCTAATCGGTCATGTTTAAGTTCTGAAGCTATAATCAATTGGGTAGGCCAAGTTGAGACTAAATCTGTTGATATAAAAAATATTATTTACGAAATATAAACATTGCATAATTAGACCATTCTTGAATGATAGTTCTGGTTTAGGACTATTTCAAAACGTTACTGCTAATCTTCCAGTAAACCAAAAGCATACAGGATTCACACTTCCTGTTCTTGAATTTCCATTTCAAATACTACTAAATAAAAATAAAATGGGAATGTGTACTTTTTTCCCTGAACGCCATCACTCTGCTAAACAAATAATTCCCTCAACATTATCAAACTAGTTAATAAGTCTGCATTTCTATTAATCTTCTCATTGTTCCTATCACCCATCTCCTTCCACTTATGACTGTACAACTGTAACCTTGTTGCTGGTATCCTTAAGATTTATATTGACTGTTTCCCTATGACTATCATTAAGTGTTGTACCTTATGATTCTTGACGAACGTATCTTTTCTTTTGTGTATACCGAGAGAGTATGCACCAAGACAAATTCCTTGTGTGTCGAATCACACTTGGCCAATAAAGAATTCTATTCTATTCTATTCTTTCTTAGCATGGAAATTATCACGATCTTCAATATTGCAAAACCACAAGCAAATATACAGTATCTCTATCAGAATGTTCCCTCTTACAATGTTAATGTAAATAAGCCAAATGAACTGGAATCTGTTTAATACAGTGCATGCTAAGTCATGATCCTTTACACTTTCCAACTCTAATGAAATTGTCCTTTTCATATGTATGGCTGTTCAGAATTTTGTTGTTGTTGTTGTTGTTGACAAATTTACAGATGTTGGGAGATAGATTCATTTATTAATCACCTATTTCCAATGACAGTGAGTGTGATTGTTGTTAATATATGTTAAAAACTAATCAGTTCACTGAAAGCTTCAACTCTCAGAGCATTTGCCATGAATAATAGTAAGTACTATTTAGTTTTATTTGCCTTTTCTTTCTTTCTTTTTTGACAAATCTATCAAACTAGATAGCAATAGAAAAATCACTTATACCACATATACCACTTCAGTGTTTTACAGTCGTCTCTAAGTGGTTTACAGAGTCAGCCTATTGCCCCCAACAAACTGGCTCCTCATTTTACCGAACTTGGAAGGATGGACGGCTTAGTCAACTTTCAGTCAGTCAGGATTGAGGGAATCGAACTCCTGGCAATGTGAGCACTTAGCCTGCAATACTGCACTCTAACCACTATGCCAGCACAGGTCTTATAGTAGTAACATTAAGCTAGATATGTCAACATTAAACATTTAATAAGATAATGTCCAATTAAAGTATTTTTGGAAACAGAAAAACAAAATAAAAACTTATACTTACCATTAAACTTCTAAATTTCTTATTCTCTGCAATGTGAAAAAAGCTTTCTCTTGTGAAAATCTTGATGTGCTTCACTTCATTATTGTACCTATGGGCAATGAATAACTTATGAATATAAATGTGTTTTCAATCTGGAAAAATCAATAATTACTTGACAGCATGCCCAAACTCTCCATGAATAAATTCTTAAGACAAAACACATATCCATGCCAATACACTGCTGACACCTAATTAACAAAAGACATTTATTAGGGTCCAGTTTAACACACCCGCCTACATTCAGATTTAAGAAAAAGCCTCCCAGCAATATCTAATAACTTATTGGATCCCGCCAAGCTGATTACATTCAAATTCATATTGACAAAGATAGCAACAGCTTTTCAAAACATTATTATTCCTTCGGTGTGATACCCTTGTTCCCACTCGATTCAAGGGAAAAATTCTGTTTGGCTTCAGTTGATGGCTTGATCAATTCTGAAAAATTTCTAGTTAAAATGCAAAGAGACCTTTAAATCACTCTAGCTATCATAAAATCTTTAGTGTTCCAAGTCACAGCACCATTACTGAGCCATCCCAACTGAAAAGTTTACTTGCAGAAGGTAGTAAGATTTGGATCCTAAAAGAAGAGAACAAAGTTGACTCCATGAAAGACAAGGTTGTCTTTGCTCAGAGTGCTGTGCATTAGAGGATTGCTGGACCAGGACTCCCTAATCCCTAAACCCTAACCTCTAAACATGGCCACTGAAAGGTTTTGTCATGGTTCCGAGTAATGAACTCAGTCGAACCTGAACTCTTAGGCTTCAGTCAGGCTCAAAAGACCTTTTGTTGAATACATATCGGCATGTAGAAAGATGAAGCTAGCTCTAAGTAATTTCCGCACTTTACGGTAGTTAAAAGAATAGAAACTTCCCACCCCCCTCAGGTGTCCTAGGTCACGTTAACCAATCAGTCCAGTAGCAGCTTCCCCCTCGGTCTCAGCAGATGTTCGTTACCATGACCCTGGTTCTCACGCTGAGTCTGATCAATGTTTTGTCTAGCAGGCTAAGGCACTACATTCCAATACCTTCCGACTCCCCCCTTCCCTCAAGAGTGGCAATTGAGAAACGAAACAAAAGTAAGAATGGCTTCAGATGAAGTTGTTTCAAAAATTGACAGATTGGTGAAAGAACTTTTGTGACTTTGCTCTTCCTTAAGCATAATTGTAAGATTCCAGAGAGCCAGTTCGGTATGGTGGTTAAGGCACTGGGGTTTTTAAAAAATGTATTCCAGTCCTGCACAGAAACCAACTGGGTGACTATGGCCCGGTGACTTTCTCATAGCTGTAGGAAGAAGCAAAAATGCTATCTTCCAAAAATGCTATCAAGAAAACTTCAATTTGCTCCATGTAGCTGCCAGGAGTCAAGGCTTTGTTAAAGGGGAGGTAGAGCAGCAACAACTTCAGAATAACTGAATAGTAGAATAATAGTTAGGGACACTAATTTTCAAAGAAGCTCAACAGGGCAGGCAAGCCAAAACTACTTTTCAAATCCATCAAGGTTTTCATAATATTTTTTAACAAATGAATGTAACTAGCATAACCTTATTTTAAAAAATCCATATTCAATATTGACCTATCAATTGCATGAACAATATAAAGAAATACGTAATTCACTTACTTAATGCTAATGGCATATTCTCCTGATTCTTTAGTCCTATACCGCACTAAGTAAGTGCTGTTTACCCGGTTAATAAGTTCCGCTTCTGCTTGTAATCTTTCCATTTTTCCGGCGTACCTGAAAAAAGTGAGTTTTATTTTACTAGATTTTCTGTATTTTATTTTGCTGCTACAAACTCAAACATAATCTTTCAATTAGGCCAAGTTTGGTGGCAAGAATCATATGCAACAATCATGGGCAGATATTGTCAGAATATGAATATTCATAAACTGGAATAGATCAGCCAATGAATAGGCATAGCAACTAACTCAGCCAATGAGGGCAGACTGGAGCCAGGGCGTATCTTAGTCTGCAGCTTCTGAGTCTGTGCAGAGAAAACTAATAACTGTTCTCTCCTCTTACTTGTAACTGCTACCAGATAAGAAGAATCTATATTGGTATTGTAAATTTACTTTATGTATTATTATGTATATAAAAAAGTTAATGAATCCTGCTGCATCAGTCTGCCTGTGTGTGCTTTCTGGATTTAACTTCTGCAACAAACTCTGACAGATGTGCTCAGAATAGAATGGGTATCTATAAGCAAAAAAAAAAATCTATCTCCAATTCTGCTGACTATGGCATTCTCAGCAATACAGTCATCATCGCTAACTATACTTCTTGACCTGCAGATACAACCAACCAATTGCAAAATACAGAAGTTCTGTGAGAGTCAAAGAAGATAATCCGGGCATGGAACACTGCTTTTTTGCCAGTTTGAAGACACTGGTATTTGGTTTCCATGATTAGAACAGTACTCTGATATATGTACAATGGAAATGTTATATTGCTGTATTTTTTGTATGAACAAAATCTTAGTCTATCTTAAACTCACAACGGCATATCACAGTGACTTAAGAGAAAGATAAAAGATGATAACTGATTAATGGCCTGAGTGGCGCTTATTGAATCTTCTTCCTGTCAATCTCCTATGAGAAAGAATAATTTTTCTAGCTTTCTGTTTTTAATCAATGTACAAAAATCAGTGACACCAATGTACCAGAATTACCTCTCCCTCAAAAATTTAATTAATTTATTAAATTAAAATAATTTAATTCAATTCAATTTAAGTCTTTGGGAGCATAAATGAACCCTGCATCTGGAAAGCACAGCAGATGTCATCAGATGACAAAATATTACATTATTTGCTGACATGTATCATATAATATCCATGTTGTATTCTCATCACCATGGTCAGCCATATTGAAGCTCTCAAAAAAAAATCAGGAAATTTAAGGGGATATCCAGAAACAAATTTTCTAGGAAAATAATGTAAACCGAATGTATGGGTCCAATAATGTGTGATTGTTTCTTACTCTCCTCAATTAGAAACAGCTATCAAGGGCACCTCTATGAAAGGACTATTCTGCAGGATAAGGGAATGGCTGGACTTGCTGGACTTGAATTTGGGAGGATAGAAATCATGACTGGGTGGAAACTCATTCAAATACAATGTTGGTAGGCTTTGAAGGAGTAGCCAGAACTTTATGTCATTTCCCACAGATACAAAATTAGTTGCAAGCCAGGTTTATCCATGCAAAAATACAGTTATGTAGTATATACACTCAATTATTTTTGCTTATATTACAACAAGATGCATTCCATAGAAGATCAGAAAGGTTAAACCACAACAAATTAGATTTCTATTAATATCATTTTTCTCTCAAGCTACTTATTTGAATTCCCAACTCTGCCCAAAATAAAAACTTAACAATTTATAGCTACCTACCATGGCTGAGAAGAATAGTCTACTGGCTTAGGGACCTAAAATAAGATAAACATATTAAAACAAAATACAATAAAATGCAATAAAATGAATTGCAAAGAAGAATCAATAAAATAAAATACCATTAAAAATGTAAAAGAATAAATGTACATCTCAATGATTTTTACCCATTTTCAGAAAATGATTAAATTAGCTACTTTGCATTATGGGCTCTTGGTCTGAGCTCCAAGCTTGGCAGCCAATCGAACATTCCAAAGTCAGATCATGACTCAGAAGTAGCCGAACAAACAACATCCGCACTAATTTGTATCACATAAAAAGATATTTAAAGGCAGTGCTCTGACAGATGAGCACAATTCAAAACGCACTGACGATGTCTCCTCGAATGGTGATGAAACGTTTGGAATCAAATTGCCAAGCTCAGACAGCCCAACTGCCAACCCGAGCTACTTATATTCAAATACATTTCAACTTTGCATGATTTGTGGCACTGTTGCTCAATATTTCAGTTTATACAATCAAGTTTTTAAAAATTATGTTTAGGTGACATGATGCAATTCTAGCTATATCAGTTAATATAAAGATCTGTCGCAAACTGTGGTAAGAAAGGTCATAAAATGGGGCAAAACTAACTTATGTCTCACTTAGCAACATAAATTTTGGGCTTAATTGTGGTCATAAATCAAGGACTACCTGTAATGCCTTCTGGACATAACCATTATTTGACTGAATAAAAAATCCTGTGGGTAATGGTAAACTCACATCATAGCTATACCCAAATTTATAGGTGTCAACCTCATCATATTGATTTCAGGTAGTAACCACCCTTGAGTGCTTAAATGTCCCCCTTCCCCAGCTCTGCATTGCTAGTTTTAACTGGGAAAATTTAACAGGAAACATCTTATTACTGCAGTTATTTATTGCTATCTATATAATACAAATATTCATATTTTCAGTCTCATCCATTCTTTTTCCTGCTAGGAGAGAAGATTTAATGTCTCTATCAGCTAGCTCTATTTCCAGAGCATATTTTTAGCCTATTTCTCTTTCCTATTACAAATTGCTTGTACCTAAAGATGTTCGAAATGTTTTTAACTGAATTTTAACTGAATTTCCACCTTCCAAGCGGGGGTGGGGAGGTGTATGTTCCAATTGTGAAAGCAGCTGTTCTGAGCCCTGAACCTTGAAACAAAAATTTCACACCTCAAAACAGCCATTTTGAACTTGAGACACTTCTCCAAATACTTAAGAGTAATCCGATTCACACTTGAAAGACAGGTTTTGCACTCAAAATGGGGTGTTTCAAATTCAAAACTCTTTGCACATCCTTAGCCTGTAAACAAGTCATCCAACAACTGCAAAACCTACACAAAAGTATATAATCAGTGCAGATAAAAATCAATTCTGCCGCACATGGACATCTATAGCATGCTGCAGATTTGCTCAATTTCATAAGGGTAATCTTAGTATCTCTGGGTTTCTGTATTACAGCCCAACTTTGAACAGAAATAAATTCCAAGATGGAAACTGAGTACATTAAAAGGAATTACAGGCAACCCCACTGAAAAGTTTTGGAACCTATAACTAGCTCATCGAAAATAGCAGGAGATCTGTAGGGTCAGTTCCCATAATAGGATTGAAATAAAGAAAATATACACAAATAGGGCTTCCAGCAGGGCTGCATGATCATTAGATGAGAGCAAAGAGCTAATATTTTCTGCATACTCTTGCTGCTATTTGGCAGTTAGTTGCCCACCAAGAATGGTGATCCCTATATCTGAGAAGCTACTGCTTCCAGGCATGGTGTGAGAGTTACATATGTTAAAGAAGTCCTTTGTGTATGGCTGCTGAGAAGTGCTTCAATGGGGCCAAGAGGAAATGAATAGATTACTCAAAGAGACCTAAGCCTTTGAAAAGGATACAAGGCCAAACTCTAAGGCTTCTTGGGAATGGAACGGAATGAGCTGTTGTGGAATGATAGGTGTTGGAACTGAACAGAAAGAGTCTTCACATCCATCTTCCATGATTCTCTTCCATCTTGCCACCTGCCCTACACCACACAGGCCCCATCAGGCACCAATAGTTATGGCCACAACTCATAATCCCAATTGATTTTATTCATGCCCTTGTTAAAGATTATGGAAGATATAGTGTAACATATATAGAGAGAGAGAACTGGGCAGTTCAAAAATGTGAAAATAAATAACTAAAATAATAAATAAATAAAAACATTTTGATCAGGCCACGGCACAAGCTGCTGAACTATAACACAGAAAATCATTTTTAACTCAGGATTCGTCGACCAACAAAAGCCCAGTGTGAAAATGAACAATAACAGACTTCATATGCTTATTAACAACAATAAAAAACAGAATGAAAGCTAGTAAATATGAGCCATTTTCATACAATATGAAAATGTCTTGCTGCCACATATTTCAAACCACTGACAGAAAAATGCCTATCAGTATTATCTCAGAACGCACCATGCTGTAGATATTCTAGGCTCTCATCCATTTTTCATTTAATATTTATTGTTTGTGCCTTCTGATGTATGTATTTTGTGCTGTTTCTGGGCATTTCTCTATGGATTAGATGTAAGTGTTGTTACTTAATAATAATAGTAAAAGTGATGGTGCCTTGAAGATTTGATGGATGTTTCAGAATCTTCCAAACGTTATCATTTGTCAAAATGGAATGGCAATGCTTGCCACTTGTAAGGAAATAGTGGTAAAACATCAATTTATCTTTTTAGTAGCACCATGCTTCTAATATACCAGGAACTGATGTTTATTCATACTTGAATTCTTGCAAGTTTTACAACTAAACTTCTCCCTTGCAAAAATAGAATAATTTCACTAGTTTATATATCTCTGTACCTCAATGTATAATTACACCTAAATTAAATATGGAGTTAATTAATTTAGCCAGTATTAATTTTAGTTACTGTATGTTGCAGCAGGATTTTAAAATGGGGAATAGTGAATCGTTTGTGGCAAGTGAAAAAAGGAGAACGTTAGGAAGAAAAGATTGGTAGGGGTAACTATGAAAATAATGTCTAAGTAAAGATGACAGAGATTGCAGTGAGTTGGAAAGCATGGAGACAATCAAGGAATAAGAGACTGAATAAGAAAGGAAGACATAGCTGGACATTAGAAAACTTGATTCCAGTTTGAAAGAAAAATTCTATCTGAGATACACCATAATGCTTAGTGAGTCGCTGGCAGGGGTTGAGTCATATGTTTGATACGCCTGTGAAAGTTACAGGAGAAGGATGGAGAAATGTAATGATCACCACTGGATGTGACCAGATAGGATTGTACAAGACTAGAAAACAGCTAGCATTGCATTCCTCCTAGCTCTACTGTCGCCGGTGGGAGAGTCATTGGTTGTCAAGCACCAAGATCAAGAACAAGAGTGTTGTTACAACTGGAACTTTAAGGACCAGATGTAAGTACCATGCATTTAACACCTTCACAGTTTCATACAGTCACTGAATGAGTGGTTGGTAAATGAGGACTCTCTCTCTCTAACTGTCTGTCTATGTGTGTGTGTGTAAGTGAGTGAGTGTGTGTCTCTGTGTCTCTCTGTGTGTGTATCTCTCTCTCTGTCTCTCCATGCATGTGTGTGTGTATTCTTCCATTCAAGTGTGTCAAATCTTTGAAGATTGCCTACGCAATTTTTTTTGGTAAGGTTTTCACAAGTAGTTTGCCACTTCCTTCTTCCTAGGCCTGAGAGAAAGTGACTGTCCCAAAGTCACCCAGCTAGCTTTGTGCCTAAGGCAGGACTAGAACTCCCAATTTCCTGGTTTCTAACCTGATGCCACCACACCAAACTCACTCACTCACTCTCTCTCTCTCTCTCTCTCTCTCTCTCTCTCTGTGTGTGTGTGTGTGTCTGTGTCTGTGTCTGTCTGTGTGTGTGTGTGTGTTTGTTTGTGTTTGAAAATTGAACAGTTTTGCTAGTTAAATCCTCACCAGTTAAACCAGTTTTTAAGCTGATTTCCTTCAAACTTTTACTTTGAAATCTAGTAACGCACAACACAAAATTGTCTTTTTAAATAAAATTAAGACTGCCTGCAACCTCCCCCAACACCACCACACACAGTATATGTTATTGCATCATGAAAAATTAATTTAAAAAAAAAACTTAGTAAGAAGCAGGCAAATTAGCTGTAGACCTTTTTGTAAAAGCAATCATTCTGACAAACATAATTATATAGTGCTACTTACACATGGGCAAGGTTTTACTGCATCACTTGGAAAGAAACCAAGCTCCTGGGTCATTAAATTTCTACCCTACAGAGAGACAACAGAAAAAAATAAATATATACAAATGCCATCTATATTCAGAGCAATTTAAACTTGCACATTATGATTTGCCAAATGTTGCTGAATAATTCATTCGTGTTCAATACCTGCTTAGATTAGAATGACTAATAGCTAATATAGAAACTCTGAAAGTTGAGGCTTTCTTACTATAGGGATAAAATTATACAATTTACATTGGTTTGACATCTACTTTGGGTCTATTTTTGAGTAATCTCTGGTTAGGGATGAATCAATCAGTTTATATCCAATCCATGCCACCTGGGTAGGTCTCCCATTGTAGCTCTCAAATGAAACTTTTGCTCCTTAATCCTTCTAACACTATATATGGTCACCCACTTGAAGACCCAGTGGAAGAAGCATTGCTGAAATCCTACAAGCAATATCATCAAGCTTAGAAGATCCTTGAACAAGGAAAGATACTGCAACCCTGTTGTGTTCCTGGATGTCTTGGGCTTTCAAAGATTAACAGCCCATTTGTAACAATGATTGCATTGGCTTCTCTTGTATCATTAGTGACTGGATCAATTTCAGAATGTGATGCCAGAGGATGCAGATAGATTACTTGGAGTGATAAATTTCATCATTAGTTCTCTTGATTTTTACTCAATCTGGGTCACAACTTTCAGCTGGGAGATAATTAAAGGTAACTTAGTTTAAAAAGTAACAATCCTCTCTCGGGAAAACAAAACATGTCCCGTATTTAAAAGAGGAGATTATAGGATGTCTGCTTTAGATTCTCCAGAAATGGACAATTGCTGTATAGGCCAATTTCCATCCTTCTGAAATTGCACAAAGAAATTAAACCAGTGATAGCTTTTCATTACAAGAATTCTTTTCTTCCTTCCTTCCAAACTGGCTTATAAATAAACTACAGGATTGAAATTATCTGGACAATCACTCTTTAGAGATGAAGCAAAAGAGTACAATTCTGTTAATTCTTCATATCTTCTCAGTGGCTTTTTATACTGGATCAATTGCCTGGAAATCTTGAAACAGGAAGCACGTTTTTAGAGGATGCTTTCCTGTCTCTCAAGCAGAGTTTAGATATTGCTTAAGAAAAGTTGCTCCTTGAAGCAAAAGATAGTATCTCTCCAAAGTTTTTCATCCAGGCAATATCCAGGAGTCTGCCTTATCAGTTATGGTAATATGTCAACTGCATATCTTCCTGAAATAAAATGAGCTCAAAATCATGGCACATGCATACTAGAGATGTCCAGATGGACATTGACACAGGTGTCAAACTCGATCGCGTTAAGGGGCAGATTGTGACGTATCACAATGTTTTTTGCCTTTGCAGAGATGGGGTAGGCGTGACCTGCATGTGACGTATCTGGCCCACGGGCCATTAGTTTGACAGAGCTAGACTACTACAATGTGCTTTTTGTATTCCTCTATTCCAGAAGCTTCAATTGGTTCAGTACTCTGATGGACTGCACTATATCTCAGCAAAAAACAGTACACTGGATTCTATTTTGTCTCTGGGATGTTGTGAATGTAGTCTGAATGCTCAGGAGGAGGGGCTTTATTCCAGAGAATGAAAAGACAGCAAGGTTTAGATAGTTTGGTTGAGAGGAAGAAGAACAAGACAGCTCCTCCCTAAAAGTTCTCAGAGTATATCTTTAATGATGCAAGTAATGTGCTTTAGTTTGGCAAGATTTTTGAGAAACAATAAAGGAAACTGCTTGGAAGAAACTCAGTGTGTCTTTCCTGGTTAAGGGAGTCTAACATGGGTAGAATATACAGTGTTGCTTACTGAATTAACCAGAAGAGATAACTCTGAATTGCAGATGACTTCGCGTCCCCTCCCTCAAACGAAATTAGACAGAAAAATATTACAAACAGATCCAATCCTGGAGAATTTTCCTTCTCAATAAAGGAATGCATGCAGCACATAAAAATAAGAAGCCACACGCCAGAAAAGTACATTGAAATGTCCTCCAGTACACCGAACTGCCTGCAGATTGCATAATCTGGACAAAATCCAAGCTAGGCAGTGTCGAAGACACCCACATCCTAAGTCATGTTTTCCTTTATAAATGATAACTAGGACTGTGCACTCAAAAATTGACCAGCAGCTAATCTAGATCATGCAGCAGTGGCGTCATATAGCAATAGTAAGTCTGTCCAGTAAGCACATTAGTAGCTACCCTTTGCAAAAAGGGATCTTTAAGAACAATTAATTTGAGTAATCCATTAAGGAGGTGAAAAGAGCATGAATGATTGAATTTGACAGCCCAGCCAAAGCTGGACAAAGGTCATTCCGATTATGACATTGCAAGAGCTATGAATCCAGAAGCAGCTCCAGGCCTGTTCTTTCAGTGTGAACACAACCCCACCCAGACACAAAGTTGGAATAATCCCAGAATTAGTAAGTGTCTGAGTTAAGCGCCACTCCATCTTGCTTGGGGTGATTTTGAGGTTGTTCCTTCATCTAAGCTCTGACAGCTTCCAGACATCAGGGCAGGACTTTTATCACATGCTCCATATAATTGAGTACTATCAGCAAATGAAATACCTCATTTTATAACGATTTGCTCAACTGACAGAAAAAAGAAGAGGTTTAGGATTTCATACAGGCCCACTGCCCTATTCTTCTTCCCCAAAATCAGAGTGGACTCATGCCCTTAGAAAGGTGTGGAACTACCATAACACCATGTCCCAACTCTCACAGGCAATCCACAAGGATCCACAAGGATGAATGTTTCCCAGAAGATTGCTATTAATTACCCAGCACACATATGAGCTATGTGTGTCCCTATATGTAAAAATATCATGTTTGTGTCAATTAAGACCAGCTCAAATCTATCCTCCATTATATCATGTCTTGGTTCTACTTGGTGGTTATTGATTATACCAATACTGGGCATTTTAAATAAGCAGAAACATTATTTTGAAAATTGATTATATTGGGAAAAAAAGAAGGGGAATGTAGATGTTTGTGCTTTAAACTATATTTTAAAATAACTTTCAGAACTTGGAGAACAATTAAAATACTGGGCCTTTGAAGTACAGTCTGACTTTTATCACAGATTCATGCAGTTGTTTTTCTTTTGAACTTATACAAAGTTAAATGGTGTGTTTTTAACCCTGGGGATAAATCCCCGAGATGCCAAGCTGTTTAGCATAAATTTTGATGTAATTCAAATTTTGTAGGTTCTCTTTAATATTGCATAATATTCTATATACTGCTTTTTTAATGCAGATGGGGAACTTCAGAAAACTACAAATATTCTTTATAATAGTATCTTCTATAATCAGAAAATAAATAAGAATTGCATGAGTAATGAAAAGTATTTACAGCACTCTATGTAAATCTGGATTCAACTCTTTGCTTCTGCTCTTCCCTGTTATTTTTCTACTCCCCAATACAAATTTATTAGTATGCCAAGATCTATTGCATTTAGTGAAATTTAACACCGAAGTAAACTTATTTAGAATTGTTAATTAAGTCAATTTAGTATCATTTTCATTATTCAAGAGGAGCATACTGTACAGACTTGAAAGCAATACATCTACATCTAATTTAATATTTTGGTTAAATGTAGAGAATAGAGAGCAAAACCTAAGAACCACACAAGTAAAGATCATTACAGGTAGTCCTTGATTTATGATTACAACTGAACTGGAATGTCAGTCGCTGAATGAAGCGATCATTACGTGAGATGTCATTTGACTACTTTGCTCAACCACTGAAATCCTGGCATTCCCAGTTGCAGTTGTTAAGCAAGAATCACAGGGACTCACATCGTGGGACTCTGTTCACATTAAGTGAACGGAGTCCCAGGTAAAGAGTGTGGGGGTGCTTTGGGGGGGCGGGTGTCCCTGGGATGTCTGGCACAGACTGCATGCAAGTTGTGTGGTGCTGCAGGGCAGGCAAAGCTGCAGCTTCCTAGAAGCCTCAGCCACACTCCAGCCTCGCACAGCAGCATGACACAAAGACCTGCAGCCCTGGAAGCTTCAGCCACCACCCAGCCCAGCAGTGCTTATGACTTCAGGGATGCGGCAACTCTCCCCCCAATATATGCCCTTTTAGCCACAATGGCACCTGAGGCGGGGGGTGGGGGGTGGGCAGCAGCGTTAGGGCTAAAATAGAGGCTCAGTGCCTTTAGCAGTCCCAGCAGGCAGCCACCACTCTTAGGCCGCTACCTCATCCTCAGAGCTACCGTTGCTATTGAGAAATGCCACGTCAAGCCTCACCTGCCCCCCCCATGCCATTATCATTCTGCAAAATCCCAATTGACCCCATGACCCTGCACTCCCCATGATCTGCTGCACCCACTACATTCTTTTTCTCCAGCTACTGACAGCCCCACCCAACCTATTCAAGGCAGCTACTGGCAATGCCAGGCCTGCTTACCAAGGCTGGCTCCAAGTTGGCATCCCATTATCGCAATCTTTTGGAAGCCTCATTCCCCAAACTGCATGACAGGGGCAATGATACTTTATTCTTTCCTGTTTTTTCCCTCTTTGCACTTTTTACTCTTTTTTCCTGTTTTACTTTCTTTCAGTTTTTACTACTATAATTTATAATTTTAAAAAAATTAAAAAAAGAAAGAGATAATTTTGAAGATCCCAGCTGACAACTTTCCAAAGATCTGTTTGCAATGCTACTGAATCAAAAGCAAAGAACTCTGTTCTAAAGCACTGGAGCAATAAAGATGTATTTATTTCCAACGTGTGTGTGTGTGTGTGTGTGTAAAAACACGGAAATGCATATAATATGTATTTTTTTTAAAAAAGAGACTGCTGAAAGTTAAAATCTAAACACATGAAGAATAATGCAACTAGAAAGCGCTAGATTAAGAAAGGCAAATTGAGCTAATAAAATGGTATTGTACCTGCCAAAATAAGCTGTGTGCATCTCCTTTGATGAGTTCAATGATGTCTCCAATCTGGATGAATAATGGAGGACCATCCGGTGGAACCGGCTGGGGAATCCCGGTATAGTTTCTAATCACTTGCATTTTTGGTAAACCTTTTGAGAAAGAAAGAAAAATGAGCAATCTGCCAGTGATAAAAAATTAAAGCAATGTATTATCTCGTATAAATACCCTCTTTTCTATCACTGCTATTGCTTCCCGAATGGAAGGTCCTATCCTGGACATTATTCCTCAAATAAATTCACCAGTCTGATGGACTTTTTTTTGAAACTTATGCTCTCCCTTCTCTCACTCAATTGCATAATTTCACTCAATAGCGTACAAATGAAAATTGAAAATGATTTCTGAATGAGAAAAAGAAAGTTCAGCTCATAAATATCAAGGGAAAAATTAATAAAAGTTTAAATACAGGTGGTCCTGTATTTAACTGAACCCAAAATTTCTATTGCTAAACATAACAGTTGTTAAGTGAACCTTGCCCCATTTTAGGGCATTTTTCTTGATACAGCTGTTAAGTGAATTACTGCAGTTATTAAGTTAGTAACATGGTTGTTAAGTGAATCTGGCTTCCCCACTGACTTTCCTTGTCTTAAGGTCGCAAAAGGGGGGTCACATGACCCCAAAACACTGCAGCCGTCATAAATATGAACCAGTTACCAAGCAGCTGAATTTTGATCACATGACCATGTGGAATGCTGCAATGGTCGTAAGTGTGAAAAATGGTCATGTCACTTTTTCCAGTGTTGTCGTAACTTCAAATGGTCACTAAATGAACTGTTGTAAGGACTACCCGTAACTTTTCTTCCAACCAGAGACTCAGATATAGTGAAGTCAAAGATGTCTAAAAAGTCTAGGACAGGAGTGTCATATTTCATTGAGGGCCGCATAAGGGTTGTATTTGACTTCGAGGATAGGCAAGGAGGCAGTCAAATCAAATCTTTATGATGATCAAAGACCAGCCTAAGCAGGGCAGGGCACAATCAGTTAAAAAGCATAGAAAATACAACAGACTCTAAAAATAATAACAGTAATACAAACCTAAAAGATACAAAGCAGAAAGTATTTATAAAAACAAAAGTTTAAAAGAAGGACGTTTAGTCACAAACTACACCATGTTTCTGATACAAATGTTTGAAAAGAAAATGCCAGTTTTTCCTAGGTGGTTATTGGATTTTCACACTAACCACCTTCATTGTACATTATGAAAAATTCTGATGGTCAAAGGCATCTATGATGCCCTTCACACTACCTGAAAAATAAGTTACAGTAGTGTCACCCGAGTTGCTGGGGGTTTTTTAATATAAAAAGTTGTGCTTTTAGATGTTTGTTTGACTTACCAAGTGATCAGAAAATAAATGGCCCAGTAATTCTTTTGACCTTTGGGCCAACTATTTGAATTATTCTCTGTGTTTATCTAAAACCAAAAATCTGGGCTAGTTTCCAGATGCTTATTTATTAACTGGCCTTTTTTCTTTTTTTCTTTTTTTTTACAGATGCAACCATCTAGCAGAGGTATTTTCATTTTTCAGGCATGCTTGAGCTGAGGTAATGCTGCTTGGTTCATCAAGTCTCAGCAAGTTGTTTCAAGGTGTTCCTCTACTGGAACAACATATGTATGTTCTTCTGTCATATCAAGCTGTCTGCTCAGCTACCTTGAAGAAAAAGAAACAATGCCTCTTTCTGAGAGAGAATGCATTACCCACAGTTCAACCCAGGTATGCAAAGGGGATGATGTCCCAGATGGTGGACACCCTGGCAGAAAAGGACATCCTTCTGGGTCCCGACAGAAAATACACTACCCAAAGCATGCCTCTCCTGCTAGATCTCATGGGATGGTAGACACCTTAGGGGACAGATATTCCCTTAATTAACCCAGCTCCAAGCCATAAAGGTCTTTGAAGATAATAGGACTTGGACAGGATAGTGGGACGGCTGAACGCGACATGTTTATTGGACCCGTGTCCCTCCTGGTTGGTGCTGGCCTCCCGGGAGGTTATTAACGCTTCTTTGAGTGAGGGTGTCTTGCCGTCCGCCTTGAAAGAGGCGGTGGTGAGGCCCCTCCTCAAGAAGCCCTCTCTGGATCCGGCTGTTTTGGCTAACTATCGTCCGGTCTCCAACCTTCGCTTTGTGGCGAAGGTTGTTGAGAGTGTGGTGGCGCGACAGCTTCCTCGGTACCTGGATGAAGTTGTCTATCTAGATCCGTTCCAGTCCGGCTTCAGGCCTGGGCACAGCATGGAAATGGCATTGGTCGTGTTGGTGGATGATCTCTGGAGAGCTCGGGATAGGGGTTGTTCCTCTATCCTAGTCCTGTTAGATCTCTCAGCAGCTTTTGATACCATCGACCATGGTATCATGCTGCGCCAGTTAGAGGGGTTGGGGGTGGGGGGCACCGTCCTACCGTCCTATCTCTCTGACCGGTCGCAGTCGGTGTTGGCAGGGGGGCAGAGGTCAATCCCAAGGTGCCTTGTTTGTGGGGTGCCGCAGGGGTCGATCCTCTCACCCCTTCTCTTCAACATTTATGTGAAGCCGCTGGGCGAGATCATCCATGGTTTTGGGGTGGAGTTCCATCAGTACGCTGATGATACTCAGCTGTACATCTCCACCCCAGGCCATCCCAACGATGCCCTTGAAGTGATGTCCTGGTGCCTGGAGGCCGTACGGGTCTGGATGGAGAGTAACAGGCTTCGACTCAACCCTTCCAAGACCTAGTGGCTGTGGCTTCCGGCGTCCCGATATAGCCAGATGGTGCCATCGCTGGCTATTGGGGGTGAGTTACTGGCTCCCTCGGAGAGGGCTCCCAACTTGGGCGTCCTCCTGGATGCACGGCTTTCTTTAGAAGAGCATATGACGGCCATGGCCAGGGGGGCTTTTCATCAGGTTGGCCTGATTCGCCAGTTGCGTCCTTTTCTGGATCGGGACTCCTTACGCACAGTCACTCAGGCTCTCGTCACTTCCCGCCTGGACTACTGCAATGCTCTCTACATGGGGCTCCCCTTGAGGAGCACCCAGAGGTTCCAACTGATGCAGAATGCGGCCGCGCTGGGGATTATGGGAGCGATGGGCCGCTCCCATGTGACAACCCTCCTGCATGAGCTGCATTGGCTCCCAGTGGTCTTCTGGGTGCACTTCAAGGTGTTGGTTACCACCTTTAAAGCGCTCCATGGCACAGGGCCTGGGTACTTACGGGACCGCCTTCTGCCACCGATAGCCTCCCACCAGCCAGTACGCTCCCACAGAGAGGGACTCCTCAGGGTGCCGTCAGCCAGGCAATGTCGGCTGGTGACCCCCAGGGGGAGGGCCTTCTCTGTGGCAGCACAGAGAACCTCTAGAACGACCTGCCCCTGGAGATACGTAGGATACCAGATCTCCGTGCTTTTCACCGTGCCCTCAAAACTTTTCTATTTCACCAAGCTGGGCTGGCGTAACCCCCCCCCCCTTAGATATTTTAATTGTAACGGATTTTAGTTGGGATGTTTTAAATCTGGGCCAAAATTTGTTTAATTCTTTTAATAATTTTAAATTTTGTATTGGATGTTTTTTATTCTTGGCTGCTCACCGCCCTGAGTCCAGCAGGAGAAGGGCGGTATAAAAATTTAATAAAATAAAATAAAATAAAAATAAAATAAATATGTGGGGCCCAAAGAAATTGCTCTAAATCAATATGATCCTATGATGGAGTTGTGCTTGATCCTACAAAGTTAGGCAGCAGTAAAGTCAGAAATTTCATCCATTCACTATGGTTTCAGAGGCCTTTTGATTATAAGTTTAAACTAAGGAAAACTTTATCCAGGATACATCAGTGCTTGTTCTTATACATGTATCTATCCTGTGTTCCCATGATCATTTTATACATATGCAGGAATACACCAAGAAATCTACCTCTGCCCAAAAAAGTTTTTTTTAATTTCTTTTGAACCACAGTACTGAAAATCAAGATGCTATATTCATTTAAACACTTTTGGCAAGTTTAACATATACCCTTTTTAGACCAGCAATGTAGCTAAAGACTAATTAAAAAGGTGTTTAAATACTGAATTATTTATCATTAATTTGCAGAATATGGATTAAAAAATAATGGAACCATGGGTAAAAGCAGGAAGAAGTGACATGGCTAAGAAATAGACTCCCACAAGATAAACCAAAACCACAATTCAAAAATCTGATTTAAACCTCACTCATTGTGGGGGAGTAACACTTTTTGCAGGTGCATCTCTGACACAGCAATACTTAAGAGATAATCTTTTATCCATCAACACTGACACATTCTAGCTCATTACTGTTATATAGATAACATGGAACCTAACAGTAAATGTTTATTTAATCTCTCCATGAATGTGCACTTCAGCATTACTGAAAATGGTTGGAGCCAATTTTTATCTTAAATCTAAAGAGTTGAAGCTTGAACTTTAGAAATCAGACTGAATGAATCATATAATTAGTGTCTAAGGCGCTGTAACTTTTCATTTCGCAGCTTTACAACTTTTGACAATTTGCTTAAAAGTAAAGATATTGCTAAAGTTAGACAACATTATAAATATTCTTATTAGTCCTGACCATTCCAAGGATTACACAGTGAAAAAATATAACGTACATGGAACAGGAAGGAAACTCTAATATTTACTAAGAAATGGAGCTGAATAATATGTTTGCATTCTGTAATTCTGTACCAAGTCTAGTTTTCTTGATGACATGATAGATTCCTGTACTTTCAGAGATTTTGTATACTAATTGTTGTACTCTGCCCAGAGTCACTTGTTTTGAGAGACAGGCGGCTATATAAATTGGAAAATTAATTTGGAAAAAAATAATAACACACCACCAAATGTGAGAAAGCCTGCAAACCTCTAATTTAATTTTTGGAGTAATGTTTATTTATTTGTAAAATTTATTAGCTGTGTCACCCTGAAGTTGGCTGAACTGTGGTCATTTTCTTTTTTGTAGTTTCTAGAGAGGTTTCTCTTCTCACTACTTCAGGGTTGACACAGCCTGGAGCAAAGGGGCCAGGGAGGGGGGAGTGTAGAGATTAGCTGGGGTGTTGTAGCCTAAATAAAATTCTTTCCCCTGGGAATCAAGGATGTTCGTACAGGTATCTGCA